CTCTTCAGCCCGACTCTTGACAACCCCATGGATTGCAGCACGCCAGGCTTCCCTGTCCCTCACCAGCTCCCAGAGTTTGCCCAAGTTCATGTCCAAGAATAACGACACATTTTAAATAAATGAATACATAGCCATTCCACATGCAGGTATTTACGCATGGGAAATGCGAGCATATATCCACACAAAGACATGTACAAAAGTGTTCATAGCGGTTCTGTTCATAATAGACAAAAACTGGACACAACCCAAATGTTCATCAGCAACTGAGTGGATAAATAATTTGTGGTAAATCCATAAAATGGAATGCCACTCAACTATTTTCCATAAAATAGAATACCACAAATCAGTTTTGCTGATTATCAAAAGTTGTTGATTTTCTTTTCTCCAAACGAAAACTTCCTTTGCACCTGTGCATGGGCACTATGCAAGAGAAATTACAATCACCTGAAATCTCACAAACAGCCTTTTCCAGGGCCAGTGACGGCCTCCGGGGGAGGATGAGTTTAAACAAGGTCCCTGGCTGGGGCAGGGGCTCTGTCAAAGTCCACTGCCCAGTCCAGCAGGGGCGCTCAGGGGAAAGGTCTGGGGACAACTCCTGAGTCCAGCAGGGCTGAACTATTTCGGGAAAGTGTCTCTTACACAGGGCTGGAGCTGGGGCAGCCCCCGGGCCAGCGCCCAGCAGAGAAGTTTTGTGACCCCCGCCACGCCCCTCCTCCCAAAGTTAAGACACTTTCGTTTCTGTGCTTCTATCTGGGGCAGAGGCATGTGAGTTTACAAAGCCCTGGGGTGTTCCAGGGGCACTCAGCCAGAATTCCTGGCTTACATAAACTGAGCAGAACCTGAGGCCAGGACGTGCCTGAGTCAGCTTGCCTCGGCATTTGTCCCCCTGAAGCTGTGATCTGAGATGGAGCTCCCTTCCCCCTCCCCTCATCCCTCTGAGATGACCACACACACCAACCTCTTCAACCCGGCAGGCATTCCAGAACTCAGGACACACCGACACCACCTGTTTCTTCGCCCCCTCTTCCCCCACTTTATTATGCCCCTATGTAATAAAATTTGTTAAAGAGCCTGTGGGACTTTGGGATTGCTGCTCTCTGGAGGAATTCAAACACCCACTGCACCCCAGCAGAGAGGAAACTGCCAATTAGGAAACAGGGAGCAAAGTCCTCTTGCAAGGTTAAAGGAGACTCACGCGCAGGTCAGCGGCAGCTGAGCAGAGACCAGCCAGTCTCCCCACGGAAGCACCACTCGGGGCCAGGCTGCCATGGACGCCCTGGTCCGACTCCTGCAGCTGCTGGTGTTTCTCCTGACCCTCCCCCTGCACCTCATGGCTCTACTGGGTTTCTGGGAGCCCCTGTGCAAGACCTATTTCCCCTACCTGATGGCCGTGCTGGCGGTCAAGAGCAACCGAGTGATGGAGAGCAAGAAACGGGAACTCTTCAGCCAGATAAAGGGGCTGGCAGGTGCCTCGGGGAAGGTGGCCCTGCTGGAGCTGGGCAGTGGCACCGGTGCCAACTTCCAGTTCTACCCAACTGGCTGCAAGATCACCTGCCTGGACCCCAATCCTCACTTCGAGAAGTTCCTGACAAGGAGCATGGCCGAGAACAGGCATCTCGAGTATGAACGGTTTGTGGTGGCTTTTGGAGAGGACATGAGCCAGCTGGCCGACGGCTCCATGGACGTGGTGGTCAGCACCTTGGTGCTGTGCTCCGTGCTGAGTCCAAAGAGTGTCCTGCAGGAAGTTCGGAGAGTTCTGAGGCCGGTGAGCAGAAAGGGAAGGATCTGGGCATGGAGCAGCAACGTGGCATCGGCCGCCCCAGTGTCCAGGGCACCCACGTTGGGGTATCTCCTTACTAGAGCATGAGTCACCCATCCCCAGCTGCTTTTGATCAGGAGATATGACCAGGGCCCGGCCGGGGCAGGATAGGGTGCTGTGGAAGCACACAGCAAAGCCACCGAACAAAGTGGGGGGACATGAGTGGAGGACATCCAGGGACACGGCGATTAAATGGAGACCTGAGGGGTTAGGCAGGCGGTGGAGAGAGTGTGGGAAACAAACGCGTGTTCTAGGTAAAGATGTTAGAAGAGGAATCCATACCGGGACTCCATACCGGGCTCAGATGGTAAAGAATCTACCTGACTACCAGAAGATCCGAGTTCGATCTCTGAGTCAGGAAGACCCCCTGGAGAAGGGAATGGCTACCCACCCAGGTATTCTTGCCTGGAGAATTCCACAGACAGAGGAGCCTGGCAGGCTTCAGTCCATGAGGCCACAGAGAGTCAGACACGACTGAGCAACTAACACACAGAATCCATAAGATTGGGAACTGGACATGGAGAGAAAGGAGTTCAGGATGGTTTCCAGGTTTCTGGCATAAACGACTAGTGGAGGGAGTGAAGGAGGGTAGACGGAAGTGCCGTCTGCAAGAAAGAAGAAACCTGCTCTGGACTTGTGAGGTCTGAGGTGCTATGGAGACAGCCAGGCAAGAGACACAGAGGCAGCTGGATATCTAGATCTGTAGGACAGCAAAGGATGTAGCCTGGAGATTTAGATCTGGAAGTCACCAGCTTGTAGCTGGTAAATTCCAAGCGTAGGGGTGCATGAGATCACCGAGGGAGGGTGCAGTGAGGAGGGAAGAGCTGGGGGAGCTCTTCTTAATAAGGAGCCCAAGTGCAAGGTGTCCCTGGGATGCTGGCTGAGATGTCTGGAACGCAGGCATCTGGGTCTCTGGGAGGGCTCTGGGGGAGCATCTTTGTATGCAATGACGTCTGTGCCCCTGGTTCTCCACCTCCCTATCTGTCTGCCCACAGCTAAGCTGTCCTTCTGGTCATTGTTCAAAGATCTCTCACCAGGCAACCCCCTGGGTCACCGGAGGCGTTTCACACTAGCTTTGAGTGGATGGGAAAGAGTCAGGGGATGCAGAGAAAGTCAACAGCAGGATGCTTTCTGCCCCCTAAACTTGCAGACTGGCACCTCCCACTCCACCAGGAGGCTCTGATCAGGCTAGGTCAGCGGATGGTGTGAAGTCAGAGGAAGGAGGTGGAGCAGGTGGGTGATGCGCTGTCTTCTCTTACAGGGAGGAGTGCTCTTTTTCTGGGAGCACGTGGCAGAGCCGCGTGGAAGCTGGGCCTTCCTGTGGCAACAAGTTTTAGAGCCCACCTGGAGGCACATTGGGGACGGCTGCCACCTCACCAGAGAGACCTGGAGAGACCTGGAGGATGCCCAGTTCTCTGAACTCCAAGTGGAACAACACCCTCCTCCCATCAAGTGGTTACCTGTAGGGCCGCACATCATGGGAAAGGCGGTGAAATAAGCCTTCCCCAAATCCTGCCTCTGGTCGGTCAGGCGGACGATCCCACCCACCCAAGGCTCCCTTCTCCTAAGAGGGATCCAGGCAGACGGAAAGCGTCCCCTGCCACCCCACCCCTCCTCCCCCCATGTCTGCCGGGGGGAACATCTAACTTCAACCCTCCCTTCTGCGGTGAAAAAGCTCTATTCCCACCCTGACCACAGGGAGCAGAGAGTCAAACCCTGTGGCCTCCTCAACTGCAAAGTCATGCACTGGGTCTCCCAATTTTTTCCCACCCACTCCCAGGACACCTCCCCATCCCTTCCCCATGTTCCCCCTCCCCTGCTTCTCAGACCACACCCAAGTGCCCCCGGATGCGACCACAAAAGTCACCAACGTCCCTGCCAGGCCCCTGCGCCCCCTCCCACCACCGCCTGAGCTGCGGGGATGCAGAGAGAACCAGAGATTTAGATCTGGAAGTCACCAGCTTGTAGCTGGTAAATTCCAAGCGTAGGGGTGCATGAGATCACCGAGGGAGGGTGCAGTGAGGAGGGAAGACCTGGGGGAGCTCTTCTTAATAAGGAGCCCAAGTGCAAGGTGTCCCTGGGATGCTGGCTGAGATGTCTGGAACGCAGGCATCTGGGTCTCTGGGAGGGCTCTGGGGGAGCATCTTTGTATGCAATGACGTCTGTGCCCCTGGTTCTCCACCTCCCTATCTGTCTGCCCACAGCTAAGCTGTCCTTCTGGTCATTGTTCAAAGATCTCTCACCAGGCAACCCCCTGGGTCACCGGAGGCGTTTCACACTAGCTTTGAGTGGATGGGAAAGAGTCAGGGGATGCAGAGAAAGTCAACAGCAGGATGCTTTCTGCCCCCTAAACTTGCAGACTGGCACCTCCCACTCCACCAGGAGGCTCTGATCAGGCTAGGTCAGCGGATGGTGTGAAGTCCGAGGAAGGAGGTGGAGCAGGTGGGTGATGCGCTGTCTTCTCTTACAGGGAGGAGTGCTCTTTTTCTGGGAGCACGTGGCAGAGCCGCGTGGAAGCTGGGCCTTCCTGTGGCAACAAGTTTTAGAGCCCACCTGGAGGCACATTGGGGACGGCTGCCACCTCACCAGAGAGACCTGGAGAGACCTGGAGGATGCCCAGTTCTCTGAACTCCAAGTGGAACAACACCCTCCTCCCATCAAGTGGTTACCTGTAGGGCCGCACATCATGGGAAAGGCGGTGAAATAAGCCTTCCCCAAATCCTGCCTCTGGTCAGTCAGGCGGACGATCCCACCCACCCAAGGCTCCCTTCTCCTAAGAGGGATCCAGGCAGACGGAAAGCGTCCCCTGCCACCCCACCCCTCCTCCCCCCATGTCTGCCGGGGGGGAACATCTAAGTTCAACCCTCCCTTCTGCGGTGAAAAAGCTCTATTCCCACCCTGACCACAGGGAGCAGAGAGTCAAACCCTGTGGCCTCCTCAACTGCAAAGTCATGCACTGGGTCTCCCAATTTTTTCCCACCCACTCCCAGGACACCTCCCCATCCCTTCCCCATGTTCCCCCTCCCCTGCTTCTCAGACCACACCCAAGTGCCCCCGGATGCGACCACAAAAGTCACCAACGTCCCTGCCAGGCCCCTGCGCCCCCTCCCACCACCGCCTGAGCTGCGGGGATGCAGAGAGAACCAGCCTCTCTGGAGACCCTGGGCATGAGGAAGCAGGATTCAGCAAAAAAGACGAGGTTTTGTCCTCAAATATTTTTCAATAAATAGACAAAATCCACTACATTGATGCAGCAAACTAAGGTCAGAGAAGAGGGGAAGCTAGGGAGGGGAGAGCCCCTGAGTCAGCGACGCGACCTCCTCCCCACCCTCTGGGCTTAAGGCACTTTCGGGACACAGGTCCTTGGGGTCCCATTATACAGACTGAGCGGGAGAGGGAGGCCCTAGGGTCCCTTCTCCCCACTTTTGAATCGGGACACCGCTGCCCTTCTCGCCCTCCCCCACCACCCACCCCTGATTTACCCCTCTCATCTCACAGCATCATAAGGGGAAGTTTGGCTGGGGGGCTGATCCTCATGGCGGGCAGAGATGTGTGCTCCAGAGGAAAGAGATCCTACCAAATCTGGATGGGACACCAGCAACCCAGTCTACCCTCGTCATCCCCAGGAGCACTGGGGAAGGGGTGCAAGGGGCCCATAGGCCGGGCCAGGGTGGAGAAGGCTAGGCTGTGCCTGGCACCGGGTGCCCCTCAGAGCCCAGCTCCGGGTGCCCATCCCCAGCCAGGATGGGGTGGGCATCCGGGCCCTCCCGCCGGGGGCTGCCCCAGTTGTTCCTCAGGATGGTGCCCGTCTTCTCCTCCTTGAACTGCTGCCGGTCTTCCCGCGGGATCTTCACCGCATGGTACTGGGGTACGGTGGCTTCGGGGTACCGCGCTCGCTTGAAGAATCCCATCTGGAAGAACAACAGGCCAGACATGAGGAGGCTGCGGGGCTGGGGTCCCTGGAGCACAGGCCCAGCACAGCCCAGGTGCTGTCCCACCATCCCGGGGACAGAAAGAACCAACGGCAGCCTGTGCCAGAAGCAGCCCGCACAGGCGTCTCCATCAACGCTGGGTGCCCCCAGCTCTCGTGCACAGCAGGAGAAAGGCGGGAGGGGCCTGAGCTGCAGGACCAAGGACATCCCCCTTGGCACCTGGAAGAGGGGTTGAAGGCAGAACTTCAGGACCACTGCCCCAAAGATTTTGACATCCCTAAGCTTTTTAAGAGATGCAACAGCGTCCCTGAGAACACAAACAAGATCTAAGGGAAAATGTGGCTTCCGAGACCCCTGCAACTTCCAGATGATTCTTCTCAAGCCTCACACACACAATACCTGCCTACTGCGCAGCATCCCCCTTAGGGTGGGCCCTCTCCCCTATGGCCCCTCCCTCAATCATGAGCATGCTGGCCCTTACATAAGATGGAAGGGTGCCCCTTGCACACTCACACTCGAGACTTCCCAGGACTCTGACATGCTGGACTGCATGGCATCTCCTTGCACTGTGTCTCTGCACTCTCATGCCCACAAAAAAGGCATGCAGGGCACCTCCCAGCACTCCCCACATGCTCACACTCCAGGAGCCCACCCAGCCTTTGCACATGCCTCGGGCTGGGTTATGCTCACCCTTATAACCTCACCCTGACAGTCACCTCCCACCCCAGTTCCTGGAACTCACACTACCCTCATGCAATCTCCTTTCTTCTCTTTGCGTATTCCTGAATGCTGGGAGCTCAACTTACACTCACATACATACTCCCCAACACATACAAACCTGGACACACACATGCTCACACCCAACAATTACCCCACAGTCCCTGGACCCCCAGCTTCCACAGCTGAGGGCTGCACGGCCAGCCGGGCCCGGTGATAGTTGGTGGGAAAAGATGAGCTCTGACTGCTCCGACGGAAGAAGCCACACTGGGATGTAGGGAGGAGGGGACAGAGGAGGTGGAGGATGGGGAGGCCGAGGAAGGACGAGGGCCCCTATCTCTGCTCTGTCCCACTTCCATGGGAGTGGGCAGCAAAGACCTTGGACCCAGTTTCTCAAAGGCCTCAATCTCCCTTAAGAATGGCAAGGTTCCCAACAGTCTGGATGCCCAGAGGCCTGATGATACACATTTGCCAGAGTCTGTGCCTGGCCTGTGATTGGTCCTAGGGAGGGGGGCAGCTCTGCAGAGGGCCCCCCGGGCACGTGTGGTTCCACATGGCTCAGATGTGGCATGTGGTTCGGGGCATGGCCGCTGATGATGGACGTGATTCTCGGTACTGACACATACATGTGTGTGCTCTTATGTGGAGCCCTGGACGCACACATGATTCTGGCTACACTCTGTGTGTGAGAATGGTTCCGCGTAGACCCTGGTATGTGGCGGCTCGGAGTTCAGTCCTGGAGACAGTTCCCTGGGGGCAGTTCTCCACCCTGGTTGGCTTTCTTGGGCATGGCTTTCTTCCCAGCCTTAGCCACCATGCTCTAGTTAAATCAGACCACACTTCCCTGCCTCCATGACTTTCCCCTCCCGTGGTGCTTCTGAAAGGCCCAGACCCACATGCCATTCCCCACATCCAGATCCTACTACTCCACCTTCTAAGGCCCTTCCCGGGCCACCTGCTCTCAGGCTTTCCCTCCCCTGAATTCCCCCTGATTTTCTTGACCTAGTTCACTCCGGATGACAAGGCTCCCCTCCCCGGCTAGACGACGAAAGCCCTGAGAACAAGACCTACATCTGACTTATCCCCAAAACACCCAGGGCCTGATAGAGATGTTGGCACACACGGGTAAGTGCTCAACACAGACTTCTGAATAAATGGGCCGGTGAGTGTGAGAACCGCAGCCTGACGGGGGGGCCCCGCCACCACTGGCACCAGCCTCCCCACGCCTCACCTTCCACATGAGCAGCACCAGCAGCGCCAACACCAGCAGCCCGGCCAGTACAGCCAAGAGGATGACCCACCAGGGGACAGCTTCGGCCAGCACGGCCGCGGGGTCCAGGTACACCATCACCGGGATCTGGGCGTGAGGGGCGAAGGGCGCAAAGGCTGGAGCAACTGCAGAGATGAGCTACCCTGGCCACACCTCCCCGGGAGCCGGAGCCACCCTGGCCACACCTCCCCGGGAGCCTGAGCCAGCAGCTCACCACCGTGGAAGCGTCTCTGAGCAGCAAGTTCTTGATGGAGGACTTCACGGTGATGTTGGCTCGGACAATCACTTCCAGAGACTTCACAGCGGAGTACTCCTAGGGGAGCAGGCGGGGAGCACCTCCTCCTAGTGCCCCATGCCTCCCCCTCCCGCCAGCTCCTGAAGCTGTAAATGGAATGGCGCCCAACACAGAGGGTGTTTCTGTCTGTCTCGGGTTGAGAGCACGCTGCCTCTGGACCGGGAGGAAGGAGAAGGAAAAGTGGGTCCCACATGAGCTCCTGGGGAAGAGAAGCGCAGCTGTCCTCTCACCTCCAGGAAGGTGCTGTTCCAGAGGCGGCCCCAGACATGCAGCACAGCCGCACGGTCAAAGCTGTAGAGAGGGCAGCTGAACACCACGCAGTTGGCCGTGCCCCGGGCGCAGTCCTGGGGACAGGACAGGCAGGGCTCTGAGCTGCTTGGCCCCGCCCCGCCAGGCCGCCCAGGGCCCAGCAACCCTCACGAATGTGGTCACACAGACACCTCTGCTCAGAGCCTCCCCTCCATTCCTCTAGGAGCCCCCTTCTCCCCAGCTCTTCAGAATCTTTCCTGTTTGCCTTTCCTGACTTTAAACTCTCCTCCTCCAAGAAGTCTTTCCAAACTAGCCCTGTGGTCTAGAACAGCGGCCTACCCCAAATCTGGGCTATTTGGCTTTGAAATGCATGGGGAGCAGGGAGGAGATCTCTTGACAACAGCGGGCAGGCAGAGTAGCTTCCCCAGTAGATGCACATGTTACCTAACGATGACCTCATTTATTGAGCACCTACTATCTGCAAGGTACTTACCTCATTTAAACTCACAACTGTCCTGCAAGGTGCAGATTATTATCATCCCCACTTTACAAACTAGGAAATTAAAGTTTAAAGAATCCAGTGGCCAGTCTCAGGCCACACAGCTAGCAAGGCTGGTGGAGCAGACACTTGAACCCAGGTCCAGAACGGGCGAAGCCACACTCCTCAGCAAGGCCCAAGCTCACTGAAGGAAGACGTGGCTGCCCCCGGAGCTGCTCAGGGGACAGGGCCTGAGCCGCTGCTCCTTCCAGGTCTGACCTAAATCCATTTGGTACAACCTCACCTAACGGACCATCCGCCCAAAAACTAATGTTCTATGCATCACACGTCCCGTCCAGAAAAATGGCTGCGAGAGCATCTGAGTCCTCTGCACCATCCCTTATCTTGCCACTGTAGAGTAATTCAAGAATCCTTTGTCAATTTGTCTAAAAGTCACGTTAAGTAAAAGAGTCCATTTCAAAAGGCTTTTTTAAGATTTTTTTTTCCTGATGTGGACCACTTTTGAAGTCTTCACTGAATTTGTTACAATACTGTTTCTGCTTTATATTTTGGGTTTTTGGCCAAGAGGCATGTGGGATCTTAGCCCCTCGACCAGTGATTGAACCCACACCTTCTGCATTGAAAGGCAAAGAATGCCTGGACTGCCAGGGAAGTCCCCCATTTCAAAGTACTTATCAAGAAGGGTGGCCCTGGGACTTCCCTGGTGGCCCAGTGGTTAAGACTCCATGCTTCCAAGGCAGGGGACATGGGTTCGATCCCTGGTTGGGAAACTAACATCTCACACGCCACAGGGCACAACCAGAAAAAAGATCAAAGGTGGCCTTTCAGGAGAAATCCGTCAGCTGGAGAAAGCAGGACTATCCACGTAACAGGAAATGGCAGTTACACGAGCTCATGCTGCCCCTGGGGCCTTCCTCGGTGGCTCAGACAATAGAATCCACTTGCAACGCAGGAGACTTGAGTTCGATCGCTGGGTCTGGAAGTTCCCTTGGAGAAGGGAATGGCAACCCACTCCAGTATTCTTGCCCAAAAAATCCCATGGACAGAGGAGTCTGGCGGGCTATCATCCATGTGGTCGCAAGCAGTCAGACATGACTGAACGACTAAGCACACACATTCTATCCTTGTGAAGCTTCTGGCCACGCTTTCAAGGAGGCCAGGAAAGCTAGGGGCCCCCAGGAAGGATGGACTGTGGCAGGGGAACTTTCTCCCAGACACACCACCAGAGTTGCCCAACTGCTGCCCTCCCCCTGCAAAGGTCTCTCTGCCTGTTTCTGCCTCTATTGCACATCCTTCCATGTGTAGGAGTCACCTTTGTTCTCGCCTCTTTTGCACATCCTTCCGTATGTAGGAGTCACCTTTCTGCCAAGCCAAGCACCACCCCGGTCCATTCGCCACGCCCCCCAACCCTCACGGCCAGCGCCATCCTAGGCGGACAGCACAGAGCCCGCTAACCCGCTCAGAGAGTCCATTCGGCAACGTAAGCACATGAAACAAGCGGCACAGGGGAGGCCAAACTGCTTGAAAAGGAGAAACCTATGAATCACAGAAATATCCTATCAAGTTAGTTATTAGAACTTCTAAAAACCTTTTTGACATGGTATGTTTCACATGGTGAAAACCATGTCAAATTTCCTTATGCAAACTGACTTTTTGTCCTAAAAGAACTCAAAAGAACTTCAAAGAGACCTCAGAGGTGGCTAAAACCACCCCAGCCCCTCTAAAATGTGACCTTCCATAGGAAGGCACAGGGAACTAGCGGCAGCTAAGTGCCCTGGTCTGGAGTGAACACCTGGTGGGCGCTGGGGAAGCTGGGGCGGCGGCAGCTGCCCCCCAGGCGTGACGCGTCCGGGCAGCTTGCCCCAGGGGCCTGGCCATCACCCCTCGTCACAGGCTGCCGGCACCCTGAAGCTCCGCGCGCTCCCCTTGCCCCTACATCTGCCATGCCACCACCCACGCCCACTGTCCTGGCCGGACCGCGTGGGCCCTGCCCTCACCAGAGTGAAGTTCTTCTTCTTCTCGGCAGAGGACACCGGCCACCAAGACGTGCTGGGCTCTGGCTGCTCTCGAGGCTGCTGCGACTCCGGCGGCCCCAGCTCCCGCCTCCTCCTGTCCCGGCTGTCCACATCCTGAGGCGGGGGGTGGGGGGGTGCCCAGTGAGGGTCCCTCCAAACGCAGCAAGAAGAGATGGCACCTCTTCCCCAGCAGCTTCCTCCACAGGCCCCCAGCCCCACGGCAGCCTTCGCAAAGTCTGAACCCCACGCCCCCCACCTCCACACCCCCACCCTGCTCCAGCGGCCCTAACCCGCTCGCCTGAGCCTCACCAGTTGGAGGACGTTGGGCCTGGGGGAGCAGAGCCCCCTCTGCCCGGGCCCCTGCCCACCCTCCAGCTCCACCCGCATGGGGTACAGCAGCCACTTCCCGTTGGCAATCTCGTGGGGCCACATGACGTTGAGGAAGGCCGAGCCCAGGGTGTTGAGCGACTGGCCTTGGTTGGAAACCTGTGGGCACAAGAGTGTGAAGTAGCAGTGTTAGTCGCTCAGTCGTGTCCGACTCTCTGAGACCCCACGGACTGCAGCCTGCCAGGCTCCTCTGTCCAAGGGATTCTCCAGGCAAGGATACTAGAGTGGGTTGCCATTTCCTTCTCCAGAGGATCTTCTTGACCCAGGGATCGAACTGGGGTCTCCTGCATTGCAGGCAGATTCTTTACCATCTGAGCTACAGGGAAGTCCCTTGATGCTGTAGAAAATGCAATACATTTTATATCATTTTGTAATGACATGGCCTTACAATTTTCATGCACCTCTAAGAATATCTAAGAATAAAATCCCACTATAAGCCAGTTGGATTACCAAGTGAGGAAAAACATTCTTTGTTTACTGCCCCACTGACTTCACTTCTGTGTGACTGTGAAGACTGAGAGTGACACAGACATGACTGTTTAACCTTTCCCTGAAGGTTTCAGGTTGGTAACCTGGAGGGCAAGGGCACCCAGAGCATTGTGTAACTTTACTTGATCTCTGATTCCTAAACTGCAACCCACTAGCAGTTTATTATTTAGCAGAATCAATTTAATGGGTTGCAATCACCATTTGAAAAAAAATTAATAGAATAAAATAAAATAAAATAACACCTGGTTTTACCACATGCAGCGAGGAAGGAGTGTTCTATAAATTTTTATTTATGTTAGATATAAACGTGTTTGGGCTTCCCTGGTAGCTCAGCTGGTAAAGAATCCACCTGCAATGAAGGAGACCTGGGTTCCATCTCTGGGTTGGGAAGATCCCCTGGAGGAGGGCACGGCAAACCCACTCCTATATTCTTGCCTGGAGAATCCCCAAGGACAGAGGAGCCTGGAGGGCTATAATCCATGGGGTCACAAAGAGTTGGACATGACTGAGGAACTAAACATATATACATGTTTACTAGAAAATGATATAAAGTGTAGAATACCCTAAAAATGCTTGAAAATAGCTGCCTTATAAAACAATATAGAAAAAATTATGAATAAATCAATAAGGACACTCTCATATAATGTGATTCTTTAATAACATAAGTTCACAGACCAGTAGAGACTTGAAATGCTCTTGAAGTACTTAAACATGAAGTCTCCTAGAAAACCCTGATCACAGTTTTCATGTGAAAGTGAAAGTTGCTCAGTCAGAACTTTGAATTCTAATGGACAGGCAAGCAGAGAATGGTGGAGGGTCCACTGGGAGCTGGTAATTTTGACATCAAGAGAATCAAAGGGTGGGTTCTAAACCCATGAGATGGAGGGACAAGGCTGCAGGGAAGGCTCAGGAAGCATAACTTCCACAAAGACTCAGGATCCTAGATCATGCACCACTCCCCGCCCACCCCAAATCTGGGAAAACCTGGAGATGTCCCTGGGAGGTGTGGGGAGGCCCGGGGCTAACAGGGCCGGGTCCTTGGAAGAGGCACTAGCCCTCCCCCCACGGCGCCATCCCCCGGAAGATGGCCCTCTGCTCTCACAGTGAGACGAGACGCTTGGTCAGGAGTGAGCAGGAAATGGTCACCTCAGGCTGCGACACAAAGGCCTGCTGGCAGCCACGGCCCAAGAGCTAGGGGAGGCCTCGGGCTTGCTGGACCAGCAGGCGCCAGACGGGAGGAGAGCCACAGCCCCCGGAACACATCTCAGCATCTCTTCGGTGCCAAGAAGGGAGCGACCTCACCAAGACACTCACCGTGACCTCGTACTTGACCTTGCTGCCCACATCCCGCTCGGACCGCATCGCGCTCTCGCCCCGCACCAGGCCGGAGAAGAAGAGCTGCTGGGGAACGGCCGCCCTAGCGAGGAGGGGTCAAAACAGGGACCGCGGAGCGCTGGGGCCTGACGGAGGGTCAGGAAGGTCCGGCCAGCGAGGCAGAGCCCAGGCCCGGGTCTGGGAGTGGCAGTGCCCACCCCTCCAGCGGAGGTGCCCACCCCTCCAGCGGAGGTGCCCACCCGGGCGGGGCTTACCCCGTGATGGACAGCGGCAGCTCGATGAAGACACGGGCACGGGCCAAGACTGGATGCAGCTCCTGCTCGCTGATGCTGGCGAGTGGCGGGGGCAGGTGTGGGCAGCGAGCCCAGGCACCACCCCAAGGGGTCACGGGCAGACAGCACAGCCCCTTCAAGGTGGACTTCTAGCCAATGCCCCCCACTATCACCCACACTAGGCCCCCAGCCTTACGTGGCCAACAGCAGCTCCACCTCCAGCTCCGTGGTTTCAATGGTGATCCCCGAGGTGCTGAGGATGAGGTAGAAGGCGACCTGGACCGAGAGTGGAACGCGATGAGAATCTGGGAGGGGCAGGGGCTTGCGGGGGGCAGGGCTTAGACAGGGATAAGGGCGGCTGTGGCGACCTGGGCGCCTCTCTTCATGGGGTTCCCCAGCTCACACTCCACGTGGGAGGCATTCTCATCAGACAGGCACAGCGGCTTCTCCTGGAGTGGAGGAGAAAAGGAGAGGTCAGCTGGGGTTACCAAAGCCCCCAAGACCCCAGTCCCGAGAGTTAACTCTTGGAAGGTTGATAATGAGCTCGGGGCCCTGGAGGAGGAGACAGGGATCCAGGCCTCAAGGAGGCGAACGAGACAAGCTTTCTTCTCTGTGTCACTTTGTCTCAGTCACAGAAGACTTAGACTCTGAGTCGTTACGACAACAATCTTTTTGTTTGGTTTGGTTTAAAGAGAACTTTATTATGACAGTGAGTTTTGACTTGAAAATCATTCCGTGATGTGGAAGCGAAAGTGGCTCAGACGTGTCTGATTCTTTAAGACCCCTTGGACTGTAGCCTTCCAGGCTACTATGCCCATGAGATTCTCCAGGCAAGAATAATGGAGTGGGCTGCCATTTCCTTCTCTGACAACAATCTTTAAGTCTAACTTTCCTTAAGCCCAGAGCTAATGATACACAACAACACAGTGCATCTCGCTCCAGGGTCTGTTCTTCCTTAAGCTCTGTTCTAACATCATATAACAACAATCTACCTCCTCCAAGGACTTTTTTCTCTTTTTTAACAAGAACCTTCTGACTAATCTTATTACTTTAAGATGTATGTTGTGGGAAAAAGCCTTGATTAGACAAGGGAGGGGGCTAGTCTGTCCCATCCCCCTTCTGACGTCTGTGTCAGTAGCTTTCTCTGTCCTTTCTCGCTGTAATAAGACTTCTGCCACACAAAAGCTCTGAGTGACCAAGGCTGATCCCTGGTCCCGAAGCTAAATCTTCTTCAGAGATCACGAATCTGACATCGTTCGCTGTAAGCTATCACTGCCACCCTGCCCTCGGTGCTCACCACAGGGTCCAGGCCCCGGACTCCCGAGTAGTGCAGAGCGGCAGGGAGGGTGACCAGGAGCTGGGCTTCATGAGCATCATCCCCATCAGCCTGGGGCTGGGCTGGGTCCGAGGGTAGATTGGTGACCTTCAGCTCCAGGCCGATGACTGGCTGCCCACTCAGAGCAAACAAGGCTGTCATCCCGTCCGCATCCCTGCAGGACCAGATCCCAGTTGCTCTAAGACCTGAACACCTGCCCAGCCTCTCCGTCCCACCCCCTCCCCCAATGCATGGGATTTGCCTCCGCCCTCGGAACCTCTCCCTCCACCTGGGCCTCCCTAATCTCCACACACACCGGTCCCAGCCTCAGACTGAAGAGTCAAGACTGAAGTCAGGGACTTCCCTCGTGGTCCAGCAGCTAAGACTCCAAGCTCCAAATGCAGGGGGCCTGAGTTTAATCCCTGGTCAGAGAACCAGATCCCACTCGCTGCAACTGAGATCCAGCACAGCCAAATAAATAAAAATTTAGGGGACTTCCCTGGTGGCTCAGTGGTAAAGAATCCACTCACCAATGCCGGAGACATGGGTTCGATCCCTGATCTGGGAAGATCCCACATGCTGTAAAGCCCCTAAGCAGGTGGGCCACAACTATTGAGCCTGTGCTCTAGAGCCCGGAAGCCTCAACTACGGAAGCCTGCATGCCCTAGAGCCCATGATCTACAACAAGAGAAGCCTCCACGATGAGAAGCCTGCGCACCGCATCTAGAGAGCAGCCCCCGGCACACCCCAACTAGAAATAGTCTGTGTGCAGCAATGACAACCCAGCGCAGTCAAAAATAGATAATACGATTTAAAGAAAAAAAGCACTGAGTGGTTAGCACTTCAGTATATAAAATAAAATTTAAATACATTTAAAAAAAAGGAAGACTGGGAGTCAGGGAACCACCCTCCTGGTCCCTGGTCCACGGCTTACTGACCTTGGGCAGGCAACTAAACCTCTCTAGGCTTCCAAGTGGAGCTGATGGTAATTCCTGCCTCGCGGGGTTGTGAAGACTGAACAGTGAGGTGTATGTGAACTATGTAATTTCAAAAATATGATGAAGGATTGTTCTTCCCTGCCAGGTGAGCTGCTATGGGCCCGTCACCACCCTCAACCTGCAAATTCCAAGCTGTCTGCGGGCCCTCCCCGCCTTTCACCCTCCCCTCTGCAGGTTCAGGCCCCTCCAAGCCCTCCCTGGGGACTTCCTTGCATACTTTGAACTTTGGCCTTCCCACCCCACCTGCTCCCTCTCTCCCCCTCACATGGGCAGAGGCTGAAACTCCGTGTCACTGACGCGGGCGCAGAACCGGGCATGGACCAGCTGCAGATTGCTCTGGCAGATCTTGTCTTCACCACAGCCTTGCTTCAGGAAGTGGATCTGGGGGAAGATGTGAAGAGGGGTCCTTCTCAGGGAATGAATGTGTCATCAAGGCATGTGGCGGGGTGGGGGACCAGAGGAATAAACAACCTGGATTCAACTTGCAGATCTGCTGCTTGCTAGCTGTGTGATATTGAGCTGGTCCCTTAACCACTCGGAGCTGTGTCCTCATCAGTAAAATGATGGAAGTGATTACGGGGCCATGGGAGAGGCCAGCAGGCTAGTCCACAGCGAGGCCACATTTCCTCGGCCTTTCTTGTGTGTAACCAAGTCCCAGACTCGGAACATGAAAAGACGGGAAGAGCATCACTTTTGGACTGGCCATAAGAAGCAGGCACGGAGCTCCCCTGTCCTCCTCCAGCAGACCAGGTTAGAGATGACCTAAGGACCTTAGAGGCCACATTTGAACCAGCACCATGGGCGTCTGAAAGACTGCCTGACCCCCCTGACTGGGAACACATGATCATCTAGTCCATTTTACATCTGGGGTCCACCTGTCACAGCATCTTGAGATATGAGGAACAACTAGGGTAACACAGGAAAGAATTCTGCAGGCTATGAATGAGTGTCACTGGCAAGGGACCCTGATATCTATTCCTCCCATCTTTTCCTGGGCTCAACTAGAGCACATGCTCACCTCTGTCCGCTGGGTGCTGGGCTGGTGGGCATTGAGGATGGGGGCCACCGGGGGCAGCCCCTGACCAGGAGCCTGTCGTCGGAGCCGAGGGGTCTGGAGACCATAGGACAGGGTCACAACGATGGCCCGAAGCTTGTCTTTGACATTCTCCTGGGGAGGGAAAAGACAGACGTGGATGCAAGAACCACCTCCCAGGCCCCAGCTCCGCCCAAAGCCCCAGCCAGACCTAGGACAGATCCTGAAGCCTAGAAAGAGGCTCTGGGAGATGAAGGAGAGAGGTGGAGAACTAAGCTAGAGAAGGGAGAAGAGGCAGGACTCAGGGCTTTGAGGACCACGCAAGAAGATGGATTGCCATCACCATCTCCAGGGAGAAGAGAACTTGACAGGAGATGCAAGAAGGCAGCAGATAAGGAAGAGGTCAGCTCAAAAGGGAACCATCCCAAAAGTTGAGACTTTAGACTGAGGTGTGAGTGTGTTAGGGAAGAAGCTGAGAGGAATCCAAAAAAAGATGATGCAATGACAATGACCCTCAGAGCCCAAGGGGTCAGCATCCACCTGGAGCTGCAGCGTGGTGTCTCCACAGACTCTGTCATGCTGGTGTTTCAGCCACACGGTGCCTGAGGACTGGTGCTTGGGGTCATCGGGGCCACGGCTCAGGAAGGTCACACGGGGCACCTGGCCCCGGAGCCTCCGGTCTGTGTCCCCATCTAACACGTAATCCAGGGCTGTGGCAGGTGGGAGAGGAGGAACCAGTGACCTGGGGTGGGGACGGCTCCAATGGGCCCTTCTCTGCACCCCGGAGTGACCCACCCTGAGACCCAACGCGGTGGGCGTGGAGGGGCCTCACTCACCCACAGTAGGGCTATAGCTGCTGGGCGACGCGATATAGCTGAAACAGACCCTCAGGTCCATGCTGCGGGGGCAAAGGTAAGGTTGGCAGGCCAAGGCCCCTCCCGCACCCTGCCCACTCCTGCCCCAGCCCCAGACTGGGCAGACAGGGGCGAACTAGACCCTGGAGCCTCCCCTCCGGCCTCCCCTCGAATCCTGCCTCACCAGACCAAGCGGCCACTCGCACAGTTGGGCTGCTCTAGGTCGATGGCTCGGGGAAGAATGGAGACCTCGTGGGAGACATGGAGGACGGGCCTGGCCCTGGAGAACGGGGAGTGCAGGGCGCAGGAGACGTGAGAACGTCAGGCTGGGAGAGGGGGAAGGCCGAGGACCTGGCCCTGCAGAGGGGCTCCGGCCGCGGGAGGGCGAGGGCGGCGGGGAGGGAGGGCCCACCTGAACAGCACAGCAGCGTCGTCCAGGGAGCCCACAAGCAGGTCTGGGCAGCGGTTCCCGTCCACGTCCAGGCCGCCCGACAGGGAGTAGCCGAAGCTCTTCATGCCCACGGCCTCGCCCTCCAGCACCTGCGGGACCAGACGGTCGGCCCCCCAGCCATCATCCCCACCCTCTGGGCCGGGCCCCATTCCCTCATCCCAACCCCTCCGCTCACCTGGGAAGGCTTGGGGACAACCCCCAGACTGCTCCCATGGTAGACAAAGACCTTCCCGTCCCCATCGAAGGGAGCCCCCACAGCAAGGTCTGCAGGCGTGGGAAAGCAATCAGACCTGAGGAGGGGGTGGGGAGGCGCGAGGTCCAGGCCCCCGCCGTCCCGCAGGCACTCAGCGCCAGCCCTGCTCCTATTTCACTGAGAGGCTACCGAGCCCCGGACAGCTTGCCTGGGCCATCATCAATCTCTCAACCACTCTCGGCAGGTGTCACCAGCTCAGAAGGGGTGTTTGCCCAGGGCCACAAAGCTGGCAAACAGTAAAGCTCGGACACGAGCCCGGGTTACTCCTCTCCCTGAGTCCTCAGAGGACCTTGCCCTTGACCTCAGAGGCCTCTCCCCGCCTACCCCCCTGGCCCCTCTCTCCGGGCCCCCCCAGCCTTTCCCATTCCCAGTCACACCTGGGAAGCCGTCTTGATTGAGGTCCCCCAGGACTGCCAGGCTGATCCCGAACATGGAGTCAGGGGAGCCGCAGAGCCGGAGAGGGGCGACCCCGGCCCAGTGACCCCCCTCGTTCATGTACACATACACAGCACCCCCCAGTTCTTCCTGGCGCTCGAAGAAGTAGGGGGCACCCACGACCAGGTCTGTCCAGCTATGGAGACAGGGAGGCAGGAGGTGGGTGAAGAGGAGAGGCCAGAGGCCCCTCGCAGCCCCAGCCTGCCCAGCTGCGCCTGCCTCCCTCCCTCTCACCCATCATTGTTGAGATCAGCCACAGCCAGCGAGTAGCCAAAGCCGGAGGTCAGGCGCTCCCCGGACAGCGTCACTTCCGGCACCAGGCGGCTGGCGCTGTCTTTGCGTAGAATGACCACGGCACCCTTGTGGTTGGCACGGGGGGCCCCTGCCACGAAGCTCAGCTCCTCAGCTCGCAGCAGGCCCTTCCCAGAGTCGATGGAGAAACCTGGATGGGGGCGACTCACCGCTGAGTTCTCCCCCACCAGACTCCCAGCCAGAGTGGGTCTAAGTTCCCCCACGCTGCCCCACCCCGCAGGTTAGAGCCTGAAGGTGGAGATGCCCCCTGAGGCAGCACCGTCACAGCTGGACCGCTCCTCTGCCCCTCCAGACACCCGGGGGTCCTCCCATCTGGAGCCTGCAGCTGGGCATGAGAAGTGGGATCGGGTAGCCTTGGGGACTGGAGAGGAAGGAGGAAGGCGATGCCTGGGAGGCCCAGGCGGCTGGGCAGCAGCAGGAGCTGGGCCAGGGTGCCCCCCATAGGGTTCCCCGAAGCTGCTCTCCCCTCGGCATGCCCAGGAGCCCCCATCCCTCCCATGCACACCACTCCTGGCAGGGAGAGGAAGTGTCCACATGGACAGGAGATGAGGGGGAAATGGGGAAGAGCTGGCGTCACCAAACATCGCCCAGGCAGAACAATGTGGATGAGACAAGAAGAGGGACTTACCAGCACAGCTCGGCCTCTCTCCACACATGCCCGCCACCCACCCCTCCGAGTTCCAGCCTCCTTCCTTCCCACTACAGCCTCAGCCCACCTGGATCTTCCTCCAGGGAGACCCCTGTTTACAGCCCTCTAGGCTATTACCCCTGGGGCCTCTTCACCTCGGGCCTGGCCCCCTCGCTCAGCTCTTCTCTGCAGTTTGGGCCCGACGGGTATTTCTCTGGGGAGGTGTTGGGGGGCAGGGCAGGAGAGGCAGAGAGGCCAGGCCAAGCCCCCAGGGCCCAGGGGGACGCGGAGGGGCGCTTACAGACCTAAGTAACTATTCAGGGCCAAGTCGCCGGCCGGTCCCAGGAGCCGGTCAGCAGGGTCCAGAGTTTTATACACCAGCTGGTCAGGGTCTGAGCTATCAACGTTGGTCACAAAGAGCAACCCTGCGGGGGCAGGCAGGCAAACACGAGGGCGGGGACATCCAGAGCACAGGCCACAGAGTGCGGAGACAGAGACAGAAGGATGGGCGCGGGGGGTGAGAGAGAGGAGCAGAGGGTTAGAGCGGCTCCGGGCCGGGGCGGGCTCCCTACCAAGGTAGCTGTTGGCAGGGACCGGGATGAGGCGGGGGTCCTGCTCCTTCTCCCCCCCCGCCTCGTAGGGCCCGTCGTCCAGGTGCGCCAGGTCCGCCGAGCCCTGCACACAGAGCTCCACCCTGGCCGTGCCTGCAAGGACAGACCGGTCAGTGCCCGGGTGGGGTCTGGAGACCACCCAGGGAAGCCCCTCCTCTCCTCTCCAGCCCCATCCCCACCCCTTTCCCAGTCCAAGCTGCCTGGGGTCTCTCTCTACCCCGGGATGTGGCATCACACTCACCACGTGTCAGCCCGGCCAGCGGCAGCGTGCAGAGATGGGAATGGGAGTGATGAGGTGTGGGCTGGTGTGCTGGAGCATGCGGGCCCCGGCTGGGCAGGTGGGGGCTCATGCCAGCATGTTGCAGAACGCTCGGCCATGCGGAGGACAGGAGATGGATGGCCCCAGTTCGTGTGCGTGCCGGCGAGACGCGGTGGGAGGCGTGGCGGGGCCCCGGGGCTCCGAGCCGGTGAACACGCAGGCATGCTTGGCCTCATGCTGCCCCCAACCCCCTCTCTGAGGTGCTGGGACATGTTGGTTCCCTTCTCCCCTCTCCAGGCAGTGACTCACCCTTCCAGTTATAGGTTCCTGGGGCCCCAAAGAGGAGATAGTGGCTGTCGGGGGAGAAGGCAGCCGCCGTGCCCTGCTGGCAGAAGCCGAACTGTTCGTGGCCCTGGGGACGTCCCTCACAGAACTTCCACTCCCCACCATCCAGCTCGTCTCGGATGGCCAGGTCCTGGCTTAGCACAAAGCAGCGGCCAATCACGTCCCTCGTCTCCAGGATCTGGTCTACGCGCTGCCGCGACTCGTATCGGTGCGCACAGGTCTGCGGGAGGGCGGCAGAAGGGGTCACTCCACCATGAGGGCCAGAGCCGCGCTGCCCGTGTGCAGCAATCTGGCAGATGCAGCGTCGAGTGCATATGCACAGGCATGTGTGCACGCGCGCACACACGCCTATGCCAGCATCACCTGGGCGCCACCTCCCAGCCCAGCATTAGCCGGGTATATAGAATACATAAGCCCCATCCCTGTCTTCTCTGCACTCACTTCTTCGCCCTGGCAGCAAGAAGTCCTTGCTGCACATTCTCCCCTGGCACCCACAGCATGACCCGGCCACAGAACTCATGCCTCCTTGATCCCGCCAGATGGGACTGTCCATAGCATGCCCAGCTCGGTCTTGTTCCTGAGAGCCACCACCTCGTCTGCAAACAATTCCCTCCCTCTCCACCCTCCACGTATTGCTTATTCTGGAAATCCAGACCCAAATCACCCCCAACTGCAGTAGTCTTCTCACTCCGCTCCTCATTTGAGCTGGTATAGACTGGGGACCACGCCACTCACCTAGCCTTAACCATAGTCTGCCCCAAAAGGACTTGTATTATCGTGTCTGTGCGTGTCAGTGATGAGAACCTCTGTAACTATGCAGGAGGCTCTCTGAGGCATGGACCATACTTTTCCCTGTGTTTACATGTCCTCTCTCAGTTCAATGCCTGATACTTCAAAGGTTCTCAGTAGGTTTAACACATGGATGGGTGGATGAACTGTTAGATATTTTTAAATTTATAAGGATGGAACCATGCCTCACACCTGTTTACATCTCCCAGAAGTCCTCGGAAGCAGACAATCATATCATACTGCCAACCTGAGTTCTGTAAGCACATCTGTGTGTATGCACACACCATACATACACACAAACATGCACTCAACACCCTTGCAAAGCGTCACAAGAAGTGGTACCCGTCACCATGATATTACTGTTACAGAGTCAAACTGTTTTTCCCTCTTTTTAAAAACAAAATTTCCTGCTCTTTTTCTATAAAAATGGTAAATATCAAAAGTCAAAAAAAAGATATGGTACTCACAACAATCTTGCCCCCAGGCCCCTGACTCCGAACGCTGACTCCCAGCCACTGGTTCTCCTTGCTCTCCTTCTGCACATCAGCTGGTGGCAGGACACGAGGAATTAGGGGAGGAAAGAGGAGGCCGAGCCCTCCCCTCCCCTGCTCACGTGTCCCCCCACCCAGCTGCACAGAGCCCTCACCTCCGCGGTCGATGTCCACTCTGTAGCAGTCAGCCTCTTCCAGGCTCAGGGGGCAAGCGAAGAGACCTCCAGTGCGATTTGCCTGCTGCCCTGGCAGGGCCAAAGCCTGGGGTGCGCCCACCAGCAGCCTGCATGATGGAGGAGGGACAGGAACTAGTGGCCAGCGCCCTCTCCTCCCGGAGCCGCCCAGGCCCGGCTCCGCTGTGCCAGGCAGAGTGTTGAAGGACTAAGGCAAAGGACCAAAAGCCAGCTTTCCCGCGTCCTGGCACGGGCAAATTCATACACTTGGCCACGCAATCATCACATTACATATGCACATACTCTCTGGGTGAGGGGCCGCATAATACCAGATACACACACACACATTGGCCACCTGAGCAGCCTGGCCCACAGTGCCGCTTTGCAAGAACCGCCTGTTCCCAGCACCTGCTCCTGACCAAGCCTTCCTACCCGCCAACCCCACTCCCTGGCTCCACCTCCGAGCTCTGCCCTCTTCCCCAACCTCAGTTCAGTTGAAATCTTCCCAGAAATGCCAAGAATGCTCGGAGCAAAAGTAACAGCACCACAAGGTAGCCCAGAGACCAGATTCCAGGGCCAAGCCAGAGACTAGACGTGGGTCCCACTCCCTCACTCCCTACAGGGGATCCATCAAAAACCCACCACCTAGCAACCCTGCCAGCCCAAGATCCCCTGGCACCCACAGCGTGACCCGGCCACAGAACTCATGCCTCCTTGATCCCGCCAGATGGGACTGTCCATAGCATGCCCAGCTCGGTCTTGTTCCTGAGAGCCACCACCTCGTCTGCAAACAATTCCCTCCCTCTCCACCCTCCACGTATTGCTTATTCTGGAAATCCAGACCCAAATCACCCCCAACTGCAGTAGTCTTCTCACTCCGCTCCTCATTTGAGCTGGTATAGACTGGGGACCACGCCACTCACCTAGCCTTAACCATATTCTGCCCCAAAAGGACTTGTATTATCGTGTCTGTGCGTGTCAGTGATGAGAACCTCTGTAACTATGCAGGAGGCTCTCTGAGGCATGGACCATACTTTTCCCTGTGTTTACATGTCCTCTCTCAGTTCAATGCCTGATACTTCAAAGGTTCTCAGTAGGTTTAATACATGGATGGGTGGATGAACTGTTAGATATTTTTAAATTTATAAGGATGGAACCATGCCTCACACCTGTTTACATCTCCCAGAAGTCCTCGGAAGCAGACAATCATATCATACTGCCAACCTGAGTTCTGTAAGCACATCTGTGTGTATGCACACACCATACATACACACAAACACGCACTCAACACCCTTGCAAAGCGTCACAAGAAGTGGTACCCGTCACCATGATATTACTGTTACAGAGTCAAACTGTTTTTCCCTCTTTTTAAAAACAAAATTTCCTGCTCTTTTTCTATAAAAATGGTAAATATCAAAAGTCAAAAAAAAGATATGGTACTCACAACAATCTTGCCCCCAGGCCCCTGACTCCGAACGCTGACTCCCAGCCACTGGTTCTCCTTGCTCTCCTTCTGCACATCAGCTGGTGGCAGGACACGAGGAATTAGGGGAGGAAAGAGGAGGCCGAGCCCTCCCCTCCTCTGCTCACGTGTCCCCCCACCCAGCTGCACAGAGCCCTCACCTCCGCGGTCGATGTCCACTCTGTAGCAGTCAGCCTCTTCCAGGCTCAGGGGGCAAGCGAAGAGACCTCCAGTGCGATTTGCCTGCTGCCCTGGCAGGGCCAAAGCCTGGGGTGCGCCCACCAGCAGCCTGCATGATGGAGGAGGGACAGGAACTAGTGGCCAGCGCCCTCTCCTCCCGGAGCCGCCCAGGCCCGGCTCCGCTGTGCCAGGCAGAGTGTTGAAGGACTAAGGCAAAGGACCAAAAGCCAGCTTTCCCGCGTCCTGGCACGGGCAAATTCATACACTTGGCCACGCAATCATCACATTACATATGCACATACTCTCTGGGTGAGGGGCCGCATAATACCAGATACACACACACACATTGGCCACCTGAGCAGCCTGGCCCACAGTGCCGCTTTGCAAGAACCGCCTGTTCCCAGCACCTGCTCCTGACCAAGCCTTCCTACCCGCCAACCCCACTCCCTGGCTCCACCTCCGAGCTCTGCCCTCTTCCCCAACCCCAGTTCAGTTGAAATCTTCCCAGAAATGCCAAGAATGCTCGGAGCAAAAGTAACAGCACCACAAGGTAGCCCAGAGACCAGCTTCCAGGGCCAAGCCAGAGACTAGACGTGGGTCCCACTCCCTCACTCCCTACAGGGGATCCATCAAAAACCCACCACCTAGCAACCCTGCCAGCCCAAGATTCTGTCAGTCACTTGAACCGGCACAGAGGTGGAGGCCAGTTTCTCATTTTGTCTCCAATCCCAGCCCTGTGCGCCCCCTACATCCTGAATCCCCTTTCATCCTTCCTGCGGCTCCCCATGCCCACGATTTTGCCCCCTCCTCCCCACCCCGGCCGCCCAGCCTTCTCTCCTACCTCCCCCTCAGACTTTTTCCCAGCTACACAGTTCTTGGCAGGACAATTTTCCATGATCACAGCCAAGGCTTCTTCCCCAGGGAGGACTCTGCTGGGAATGGAGGCTGCCTGGGTCCCCCGGGAGGCAGACCCTCAGGCCAGGAGTGAAGGAGAGGCAAGGTTTTGGGCACCCAGCTGGCTACAAGGATCCTCTGCACAGAAGGAGACTCAAAAGTGTCAGCAAGACGAACCTCGAGGCCTCCCTCCCCAACTCGTTTCCTCCACCTCCCCGGCTTGGGCACGGGGTGGCGTGGCAGATGGGCATCCGTGGGGCACTGTGCCAGTTCTGATGGGCACAGGGCCACTCTCCCTTCCCACGACTCCGCCTCGTCTCCGAGCAGCTGTCATCCCTCGTCACAGCCAATGTCACGAGAGGGGGGGTGGGCAGTAGAAGGGGAGACAGCATACACCTGGCATTTGCTAACAACTACTTATTGAGACTGTCATCTGAAGAGGAGGGCACGGCAACCCACTCCAGTATTCTTGCCTGGACAATCCCATGGACAGAGGAGCGTGACGGGCTACAGCCCACGGGGTCGCAAGAGTCGGACACGAACGAAATGACTTAGCACAGCACACACATCATCTGCCAAGCCCTGTGTCAGGCACTGGTGAGACAAGGAAGTGATATTTACTCACCACCTAGTATGAATCAGGTCCTAGGCTAGATGCCAGGGATGTGAGGAACTCAGCTCTATGACCCTACTAGGTGCTAGGCACCGGGCTAGGCATGTTACATGCATTATCTCACTAAATCTTCACGACACAGTCGTGTCTTCCTTCACAGTCCGATGGAAGGATTCTTCGCTTGTCTTTCAGATGAGAAGACTCACTCAGAGACATTGACAGCACAATGGAATTCAAGCCCACATGTGCTTAATTCCAATATCCATGCCATTCCCACCCAATGACTATGACTGACCACCTCAGAAAAGGAAGAGGGAGATGAGGAGAGGAGGGTACCCCAAGCAGAAAAAGAAACTAGGTGGCCTGGCTAACCTCCAGACAAGTCCATGGTGCCCCCACCTGTAAACACAGAGATGGGGAGCCCTTGGAGGACCCCGGCTGCTTCATTCATCTTTGCATTTGCCCCATAGGAGGCATCATGATGTCTTTGCTGGACACATGTCATGCAGACTCACAGAGGCACACAGAGTCTCAGCTGGTCGGCGCAGAACTAAGTACCAAGAGAGGCTAACAGTCCATGTTCAAAGCTCACATCTCCCCTGGAGGTCACAAGTAGGGAGCTGAAAGAAGAGGAGGGGTCCATACGGAAAAAAGAAGCTGAGTGCATAGCTATGCCCAGCCCCTCTCTTGATGGAGAACAGACCAGGCCATCCTGCCTGGAACAAGATTTCCCACACACAGCCTCTCCATTCCCTCCACCTCCGCCCCAGCCACACACTCTTTCTTGGCTTCATCCCACGATCCCCAGCCATCCCAGACCTCTGGACAAACAGTAGCCACAGAGGCAGCCCTGTGGAGAGAAAGGCAGCGAGGAGCAAGGGGCTGTTTGGGGGGCTGGCTAAGTTGAGGCAAAGGGGTAGCCCACTACCTCTGCACCACTTAATTTCCCATTCACTCCAGCCTCTGACTGAGTCCAGTCCTTTCTGACTCTCTCAATCTGGGTGGCCCTCTGGGGAGGGTGCTTGGCCTGGAAGGTTGGCTCAGCCCTGGGGGTGCTCCGGCCAAGCCTTTGTATCCAGCCTCGCTGTAAGGCACAAAGCCATGCTCCAGCCAGCCCTGTGGGTCACCATATAAGAAAAAAGGTACCGACACTTTCATACCACCCACACTGGGCCTTGGCGCTATGCTCAGAATTTTACATATGTTAACAAACCTTTCAATATCCACAATTACTCTATCTGGTGGCTTCCCAGATGGCGTTAGTGATAAAGAATCTGTCTGCCAACGCAGGAGATGCAAAAGACATGGGTTCGATGCCTGGGTCAGGAAGATCCCCTGGAGGAGGAAATGGCAACCCACTCCAGTATCCTTGCCCGGGAAATCTCATGGACAGAGAATCTGGTGAGCTACAGTCCATGGGGCCGCAAAGAGTCGGACGTGACGGAGCGACTCAGCACACACACACGCATTTGGTAGGACCGCTGATGTTACAGTGGATGGAAACAAATGAGGCTGAAACCACAGAAGGCTGAACTTCAAAGTCTCATCCCTGGGCCAGACTGAAAGACATCCAAGCTGGTGAGGTTTTTCAATCAGAGAGTGGTGGGGACAATAATCTGCAACCCCAAAGCCAGGGACTTAGCCAGGGTATCCCACCCCTCACGCGCCACCAGACAGCAGAGCACCCCTGCCTGGAGCAGGAGCAGGGTGTGGGGCAAGCAGCCCCTCTGGGGGCTCCCCCAGCTTGGCTCTGGGAGAGAGTCAGGGGCCACCTTCAGAGACAAGGGGGAAATGACAAGAGACCAAGCCATTAAAAATAACCTAGAATTTGCCTGGAAATAGCTCAGAGACTTCAGCATGTCCTAAAAAGGCCTCCAGCTCTGGAACTCTGGCAGATGGGGGAGGGGGGAGGAAGGGAGACAGAAATGATGGAGTAAGAGGTTAGTAGATTGAAGACAAGATGAAGTCAGTAGCTTTCCATTGCTCCCAAAGTGTGCGGGATCTCTGACCCTGCTCCCTGACGACAGAGATAATGGAGAAAGAAGATCAGAGCTAGCCCCTAGTCCCTGAGCCAGGGAAGAGAAATGAGCTCTCGAACCTTCCCCCTGCCCCTAGGCCAATAGCAGAGGGGAGGAGATGGTCCCAGTGGACGGCACTGATCCCAGTAATGGACACTGACTGTGGCTCAGGCAGTAGCCGAGGAGAGAAAAGTCCCCTGGCAGGAAGCGGTGGGCCGCTTTCTCTTTCCTGCGTGTCTTTTTAAAATCACACACAGAGATGGGGCCAATAGTACAGGAACCGTGATAGTCGCAGTCCCCACACACGAGTCTATCTTTCTCCCACGGGTCCTGAACTGATTAGAAAATAACCAGGATTGTCCTCTGCCCCTCACCCCTCCCTGTCCGCCCCTACTGCTGAGATTCTTGGAGCTGGAAATTTCCCGAGGAGGAGGAAGGGGAACGGCCTGGCCAGCATCCCCTCGAGATCTCTCACTGCTGCGGCTGCTGCTACAACTCTGGGGGTCTGAGTCCTGCCACCCTGCATCTGCAAACTACCTAGTGCAGAGTGCCACATCCTCCCAGGTGCCCTCCCGGCCTCCCTGTAGTCTTGAGCCCCAGAAGCTCAGGTCTCTCCTGGCTTCCCAGAGTCCTGCTGCTGGCGTCCCCTCCCATGGCAATGCCCGGGCAGGAAGTTATTTCTGGAGCCTACCTTCCGTCCCTCCCGTGGTACCCTCAGTCTCTCTGCCCTCTCCTTCACCAGTCCTAAGCAGAGGCGAACTGCTCCCTCCCTAAGGGGGCTCAGCCTCCTAAAGAAGGAGAGGAGCCACAGGCCCTGCGACTGGAACAAGGATGCAAGTTGCGGGTGAAAAGCGACAGGGGATAGCTCCCAGCCAAGACTCTTGCTCTCCAACTCATCCCCAAAGCGAGATCGCCTGGGTCTCAGATCCAAGGCAGACAAGGCTTCAGGCTGGGGCGTGGGGTACCTGGGGGCAGCCTGAGTCTCGATACGGCTGGAAGATTGAGAGAAGGGGCGGAGGAGCGGGGCGGGCATCTGTGGCTCGGGCGCTGGGGTTCTGGGCGGGGGCGGTGACTCACCAGCTCTGGGGCCGGGGCTGCAACTGCCGGTGCAGGGCCACCGAGAAGCCAAAGAGGCTCCCCGGCTCGCCCTCCTTGCGCAGGGCGCCCATCACGTCCAGATTGAAGGCGGCAGCCCTGGGGAAGAGCAGTCCGGCGAGCAGGGAGCCAAAAAGGTAACAAATCCCGGGGGTCCCCCAAGGATCGCGGCCCGGAGTTCCCGCCATGGGGCAAGCCCCTGCTCGCGCTCCCGGCGAGGGCAGGGAAATACGCTGGCGCCCCGAATCTCAGATCTCCCGAGGAGGGTCTCTGGTCTCCGCGTCTCGCTGGCCCTTCAGGGGGTCCTCCCAGTCCTCCACCTCGCTGCCCTCTACCCCTCTCCCGCCGCCCCAGCACCGGCCAGGACGACGGCAGCGGCCGCAGCCCCTAGTCTCCCCGGCTCCCGCCTCCGCTCCCGCGGGCGCCGCCCCGGCCCCGCCCTCGCCCCGCCCCCCGGCCCGCGGCAGGTGGAGGCCGCCGGGAGTCGCGGAGGGATGCCCAGGAGGGCGGCTCCGGGTAGGAACAGGCCTTGCTCCCCGCGTACCCCCAGCTCCACCTCAGCGCCGGCGCCGCCCCCGCCAGGGCTCTCCCCTTCCCCCCTAACTCCTGCCCTAGCCAGCGAGTGATAGAGGCGGCGCCTGGGAATGGGGTAGGAGAATTACGGATAGAAAGGGGGCGAAAAGAGAAGGGGCCAGGGGGATGAGCCAGAGAGTAGAAGTGGATGAGGCTAAAAGAGTCTGGAAAGAGAGAGACACAGAGAGAAAGAGATGCGGATGAGTCCGGTGTGGTCCCTTAATGCTCCCTTCTTTCCCCAAGGACACAGAACACCTCTCCTGCTGCCTGAATCAAACCAATATTCCCACCACATCCCATCCCATCCCCTCCCTCCGAGCCCAGCAGTGGCAAAGGCTCTGCTAGACACATACATCGTCAGCGTTCGGGGAAATAAGGTAAAGACGGGCAAGAAGAAAGGAAAACTCAGCAGGCCTGGGGGAGGGGAGCCAAGGAGGCCGGTAAAAAGCGAACAGAGCGGCAGAAAGAAGGGTAAGAGTTTGATCAACAAGGAAGGCATGGAGAAAACGGGGGGGAACGAGGTGGCAGAAGAAGAGGACAGTGAGCTGGGGGGAAGGATCCGCTGTCAGAGAAGGCCCAGATGAGCGAGATCGGACCCAAGAGGCAAAGGGATGGGAACGATGTCTCCACCCTCCAGATCCTTCCCAGAACTGTACATTTCCTACCCTCCGAAGAGGAAGGGGCTGGAGGGGCAGCGTCCTGGACTGGCCCTCCCAGGATCGAGGTGGGGCTTCCCAGGGATGTCCACAAGGACTCACAAGCCTTGCCTCTGTCTCTCCCTTCCCCCCAGGCTGAGACAAAGGCAAAGGGGGAGGACATTTTCCAGCTCTGCTATTTATAACTCCAATCCAGAAATGGGGCCAAGAAGAGAGATAGGAAATAATTTGGCACAACTGGAACGTCACTGACTCCCACCTCCCCTCCCTAGGTCTCTCTCACGGGGTGCTGGTCTTGGGTACATCCATATGTCCATCTTTCTCCCCTCCCTCTCTCACGCTCTGGTTTTGTCTCATCCGAAACTCTATCTTTACCCTTCTTGTCTCTGTCCATTGGAACCCTACTAGATTGTTTCTCAGTGTCTCTAATGTTCCCTCTGCCCCCTCAAACACTGTCATGTTCTCAAGATTCTCTCTTCTCCCTCTTTGTCTTAAAAGCTCCAACACATGTTCTCCCTAATTCCTCTTCCCAAGTGTCCGTTTTCTCTCTTACTTCTTTTTCCAGGATTATACTTTAAAAAAATTAATGTTTACTAGTCTGCTGCCCAGTGGGAGTCCTTGCCCTGCGTGAGTTACCAAACATCTGAAAGTTTGTGCCTCCATTTCGGCAACACTTCCCTTGTGTCTATCCCCCCCAGGGAAGCAGCACGCCTCTAAACAGGCGCTCTCCAGGTGACACAGCAGACTGGCCCTGAAATCCTACTTCTATCATCCCCCAGACATGCCCTCTGCATCCCTTTTCTATCTCAGAGCCCTGTCGTTGGAGAAGAGCTGATGTGAGAATGCAAAGGAGTAAAATCAGGATGGAACCCAGACTCCTGACTCTCAGCCCAAATATCCTCCAACTGGGGTCAAAATGCCTTTAGAGGGGCGGGGGTGGGGGGAAGGAGAGGGTGGGATAGAGAGAGAGTAACAGGGAAACTTACATTACCATATGCAAAATAGATAGCCAGGGGGAGTTTGTTGTATGACTGAGGGAACTCAAACCAGGGCTCTGTAACAACCTAGAGGGTGGGAGGGAGGACCAGAGGAAGCAGACAGAGGTATACCTACGGCTGATTCAGGCTGCTGTTTGCCAGAAACCAACACAATTCTGTAAAGCATTTATCCTTCAATTAAAAATAAATTGATTAAAAAAATAATAAATTGATTAAAAATAAATAGAAGTTTTTTTAAATGCCTTTAGAGCCCCAAATGCCTCCCTGTGTCCACCTGCAGCCCCTGCCTCCCTCCATCTCTAGTCCGCTGATTCCTGCTAAATCCAAGGTTGGGATCAGATGCCAAGAATCTGCTTCTGACCTCCTCTGCCCAAATATTTGAGAAGTCACCTCACCCGCCACAGGAGGAAGGAGAAGGAAAGAAAAGAGAGAGAGAGGCCACCCAAAATTAGCCTGGCTATAAATAGTGGGGCAAGGGAGGGCGGGGAACATGCAAGAGTCCCAGACCAGCCTAGTAAATTTAGACGTGTAGATTTTCCCTACAGGAGAAATGAGGCCAGATTTGGAGTGGAGAGCAGCATTGCAGATTGAGGAGGGAATGAAGAAGCTGGAGGAATCCAGAGAACAGAAGAAGCTTAATATTCAAATAAATAATCTGCCAGAGAACCTTTGTATTTTAATTCGGAGTCCAGGAATTCATTAAATTAAAACTAATGCTGATGCTGTATGATTCCACTCACATGACATTCTCAAAACGAAAAACTGTGGAGATGAAGAACAGACTGGTGGTTGCCAGGGGACAGGGATGGGGACGTGGAGGTGTGAGTATGAAAGGGTAGCCCAGGAAGTTCCTTCACGGCGACGGAGAGCTCTGTAACTTGACTTTGGTGGTGGCTGTTGAATCCATCTGTGGGATAAAATTACGTAGAATTATAAATGAATGCATGTTAAAAAAAACTGGGGAAAATTGAATAGGCTTATAGCCTAGTTAACTGTATAATATCTATGTCAGAGTCTTGGTTTGGATATTGTGCTACAGTTATATAAGGTGTCACCTCATGGAAGCTGGGTGAAGGATACACAGGATTTCACATTCTATTTTTTGCAGTTTCCTCTGAGTCTGCAACTATTTCAAAATAATTTCAAAACATTTTTAAAAATTTATAAATGTCCAGACCCAGCAAAGACTCTTGCCCTTTTCTGCCAGCCCCTTCCCCCTCTAAGAGCCCTCTTCCCCTCCATCTGGGCTCCCTATTTTTCAGCTCCCCCGGACCACACACTGCCCAGCTGCCCTCTCTAGATGAGCAGCAGACACTTCCAGAACACACACTGCAGGGTTAACATCTCCCTCCACCTCATCTGGCAACAAAGCCTTGGACCATATGTCCCGGGGTCAGCCTCTTCCTCCACAGCATAGACAACAGGAGGACTTTCTCACCCCACCCACCTCTGCAGCACTGGAATCCTTCTGCTGGCCTCTGAATTCTGCCTGTAGCCAAAGTTCGAACTATGGGAGTGGCTGGGAGAGAAAGGCTATGCATGTGATTGAGGGCAGTCAGTGGGGAAATGCCTTGACCGCTCTGGTCTTTGAGGATCCCAGGGAAACCCCTTGTGTCTTGGGGAGAAGGACGACTGGGAGATCACTTCCCACGGTGAGCCATTTAGACCGGGCCCCTTTTCTCTGAGCCCTGGCCCCAGGCCAACATTTGGAACCCAGCCACACCACCAACGGCCCCCTCTTGAAGCCCGGCCAGATTTCCCAGTATGAGAAGCCTTCTCCACTCACACCATGTCCTGCCTCAGTCCTCACCCAATCCCTAACAACTCAGCAGCTTCCGGCCCTAAGGCTTGGCCCAGCCAGTCAGCCAGAAGCTTGCTAATTAAAGCGAACTCTGAAAGAGAGGCTTCAGAAGAACAGAGAAATGAGTGGGCAAAAGGAGTATGAGGGCACATTCACTGATTCTAAGAGGAAAAATAATCTGGGTGGGAAAGTGTAAGCAGAGGTGGTCAGAAAGAGATTTCAGATTTCAAGAGTCATTTTCCTACTGTGCATGCAGCCTGTGTCCATCTCTACCAAAGGCGGGTGGAGCTGAGTTTCAACAACAGTAGACACTGGGGTTAGACAGCGAGCCACAGGGGCCCAGAAAAAGAGTGGGTGGAGGAAGACCCTGGAGACACCAGCTGGAGCCCCCAGATACAGGTACCCACGTCCCCCGCTCAGCTCTCGGGCAAAGGAGCAACAAGTGTGTGGGAAAGGAGGGTGGGGCTGATGTCCGCAGAGCCCTGCCAGTCTCTGTACCGATTGTGAAAATGCCAGGCAGTTGTGCCAAGGGGGTGAGGGTAACACAGGATGGGCCTGGCACTCACCATGAGTCATCCTGATCTTAAATTACAGACGCACCGCTGAAACCCCCAACGGGCCTGCCCGCTGTTTCACGGGTCCACTTGTCACCATTCTCTGCCACCCCTTCCAACCTCTGCTTTTCTCTCCCAGCGCTGGGAGTGAGGCACCGGGCACCTTCCAGTCTGCCTCCAACTTGCTTGCTCACTGCAGTTGGAAGCGAAAGCCAGAAGCGGGGGAGGTCGGGCAAGGCTGCCCTGCAATGCTCTCATTCTGCCCGCTTCTATTGATCGGCTCCTCTCTGGAGTGGAGCCTCTTCCCAAACATCCCTCCCCTGCTGGGATTCCCTTCAACTGATGCTCCACAGGCATAGAGAGGCATAGTGACAAGAGAGAGCTGTCCCCCGAAGTGCTCTGGGCCTCCCCCTGCTGGGGTCTCTTCCATGGTTTCTGCAGTATAGAACAGTGGTCACACTCAAGCTCTGGCATCAGATAAGCCGGCTCTGTGTCCTAGCTCGACTGCCTATGAGCTCTATCACTGCACTGCTCTGAACCACAGATTCTTCATCTGCACATTATTACACTTTACATGACTATTCTCAGAATTAAATGAAATAATACATGTAGAGTGATCCACACATGGTATTAAGTACTCAGGAGATGTTGTTAAAGAAGTACCCATATAATAAGCACAGACACACAAACACAATATCCAACACTTTTTTTTAATATTTATTTGGCTGCATCAGGTTTTAGTTGTGGCATGAGGGATCTAGTTCCCCAACCAGGGATCGAACCCACG